TTAAAGTTGGTTCAAAGTATTTTTACATGGAACCTCAGAGGAGTGCTTGCAAGTCTTGGCATTTAATTTATAATTTAATTTATCACGTGAACGGTGAATAATTTATCTTTGTGTTCATCTCACAGAGAAAGACATGTGAAGGAGACGCCTTACCGAGGGAAAACACCAGCACTTCAAGTCATGAACGAACCCCTCTGCTTCAAGATGAGCAACACTGACATGCTCCCAAAAATAAATAAAAATACTTATATTATGTTCTGAGACTGATTCAGCTGCTCAGAATATGGAACAAGATACAAAATGGAATATTATACTGGAAGGTTTATAAAACACTCAGCCAAAGATGGTCACTGACTTTTTAAAGTTTGTTAAAACAATCAACTGCTTTTTAAATATGCAGATTATTTTTCCCACTGTGGTCGTCTCAGCTAAGCTATTTTATACGTCTTATTTCATCACCAGCAACAGCAGTGGAAAGAAACTGCAGTGATTCTAGTTGGGTTTTAGAAAAATGCTTTAGCTCTGACTACAAGGGAGCAATTAAATTTTTTTTAGCCAGATGTTTTGTATTTTAACCACAAATGTGCCTTCATCATGGGAATTTGAGTCCAGTTGATCTCCTGCGTTGCTTTCTGTTTGCACTGAGGAGTCTGGAGATTAAACTGAGCTCGTTTTTAACCCTTACCACGGTTTTGCACATACAGCTGTGACAATCATCGAGTCGAGCAGAGGAGACGTTCTCCTTGTTATGTACTACTGTCTTCTGTTAGAGTTTAAATGTTTATGTTCAGGATGGTGCAGATAACGCTGTTTGATGTCCAGCACACGTTTATTGTGTAAAAAAAAAAATAAAAAGAGGATAAGAGTAACATGCACATAGAAATACACTGATGTTTGACATCAGTTCAGACTGAAGTTCTCAGAGATCTTCAGTCTCTCTGGCTTCTCATTTTCATTAGATGTTAACGTGCACTGTCTGTTTTCATTTGTGGGAGGAATAAATGTTCATAAAATGATCTGAATAAAGATTTTGGAGAATTTGAATTAGAAGAGACATTTCTTTAAGGCCAAAAAAAAGTGGTATAAATAAGTTACTTTAAATGACTTTAATGTCATACACAGTCAATGAAACCAATTCCTCTGAGGATGAGTGTATGCTCCCTCCAGGGAGTTAAAGTCAAATTTGCATAGAACGTTTCAGCAACAAGGCAGTTCAAAGTGATTTACACCATCAAAACATGACACAATAACCAATTATGAAACAAACAAGCATTATTTTCTTTGATGTCAAATGCAATCTTCAAAATCAACATCAAATATATTAACATCCAAGTTTCTTAAATCAAAGGCAGCTCTAAACAGATGAGTTTTGACCTCTATTTAAATAAACTGTTTCGGTTGTTTAGCAGTTTTCTTGAAGTTTATTCCAGATTTGCGGCACATAAATCAGTCAGTCAAGTGTATTTGCATAGAACATTTCAGCAAGAAGGTAGTTTAAGGCGCTTCATGCCATAAAAATTCAAGAATAAGAAGTTATAACATGCAGCTAACAATTGAGAAACCAGTGACAAACGTTCCATTTTGATGAGTGTCATCAAGATCATCTTCATGTTTGGGTCCAAAATTTATTGCAAGAATCAACATCAATGAGTTCAGAGAAAAAAAATCCCATCTTAAATCAGTCAGCCAGTGTAAAGAAAAATAAAGCAACTAACCGCATTGACCAAATCTTATTTCCTATCAGTATCTGTTTAATTCTCAAAGGTCAGTTTGAGGAGTTCCTGACTGTAACTTTGAAGGAAAATCATTTAGAAGATGGGGGGAAAAAAAGACAATTCCATACAAAATCCCAGATTTGTTATAATCTGGAAAATACCTCTGAAGTATTATCCAGCACAGAAGAATCACTGTAATTATTTTAATATTTCAATTATTGAGATATTATTAAACTGTCCAGATTCTAGATTTGAAAGAAAAAAAGAGGAGCACAGACTTTGTTAATAAATCAGTGTTCAAGCAGCTTTCTTCATCAGTTCAAAACCTAAGCTGCAAATCTAAATGTAGCAATCATTCTACCCTGGAATTAGCACTAATGCTATGAACTGACAGGTTGGAGAAAAGGTAGCTGAAAGTGTTGAATCCGTTTCATATGTCTGTTCACATTCTGGAAATCTGTCCTCCTTTGCCAGAATATTTCAGCCCCCCATAAAGATGTGGACATTTTCCTTCTGAGGACAGGTTTCTGTTCATTGGAACAACAAGTGTCAACATTTCCATCCGGTTCTGAACATCTTTAACAATAGTGGGAACCTGTGCTCTAATAGTTTGGAACCCCAGGTTCAAGCACATTCCTAAAAGTCTGTTAATGCTATATCCTCAAGTATAAAATCAATTTGGGGGTTTTAGAAGATTGAATTGTGGCACTTGTGGTTTTCCATATACGCTTCAGTCCAAATTTAATATCAATTTAAAGTCTTTTTAGAAGATTGAGTTGTGGTACTTGTGGCTTTCCATACATGTCCAAATTGTTCTTTTTTTCTTCTGCTTGTGTGACATTTAGATTTGGGGCTATTCTCTACTGCTGCAAGGGAAATGAAAAAAAGTTAAAAGGTTTTATGTAGCTTAATTAGGTTTATATTTTTCCTCAACAATCCTACTTTGAAAACAATATGCTTGACTATAGTTTGAGCGCCCAGTACTGTCCGTCTGCAAACTAATTCAGTACAGTTACACTTTGGAAGTTAACAGCCAGGTGGCGCCACAGACGCAGTTTTGAGTCAAGCCTTGGGCCAAAGATACTGCAACGTAGCAAAGATTTCTGATAAGATTACCAAAGGAGAGGGATGAAGGTGACATTCTGCTAGTTTCTTCTCTGGCTCTCCAGCTGTTGCAGATCAAGGCAACTGAAAATGAGTCATATTCTTTGTACAAAAGTAAAAGTTGATGTAAACATGATCTTGTGAAATACTTTGATAAATACTGTCAAGTATTTAATGAAGCACAATCAACTCTTTTTTCTTTCACAGCATAAAAGGCATGCCGCCATCATACTCAACTTCCTGCCGTATTCTTCGTCGTAGTTTACGCCAGGGGCAGCGACCGGTTGTTGGTCATGTGACGTGGAAAAAGTGTTTCCATTGCAGTTCTACGAAATAAATGAATTTAGATGTAGCCAAAAAAAAAAACAAAAAA